CAATGTTGTAAATACTTGAAGATGATGAGGTTGAGAGAGTAAAAAGGCCATTTTCGAAAAAAGTAAAAAAAAAAATTTAATGGCATTTTCGTAAATAAAATGAACATGTGGGGTGGATAGGACAAAAACAAGATGAGATAAAAGAAGAAGTTAGTTTTGTGTTTGACCATGAGTTTTGAGTCAAATTTGCAAAAACCCCGAGTATTTAACAAACTGTATTATGTTTTACTCATATAAAACAAACTTTCAAATATATACAATGATTTTGAAAAACAAATTAATTATGGTTGCATAATCAGTTATTATTATTGTTTATTATGAAAAACAAATATAGTTGGTTATGGAGTATTCGGATTTGTTGCATAATCAGTTATTATTATTGTTGATGTTTGAATAAGATAACTTTCTTTTTGAAGATTAGAATCTTCAAAGAATATCATAAGTTTAATTTTTAATATATTTATAATACGGGACATCATTACAAAACTAAATATCTTTGATTGCAATATAATTTGCAAAATAGAACTCTAAATCAGTTAAATCACAAGTAAGCATTGTCATCTCTAAAATATCATCATTACAAACCTTGAAACCCTAAATAACTTGTTAACTAAATTTTCTATATAATAAAAATAATAATAATAATAATTCAGTTCCAAAAATATTAAATTTATTTCTATTACCTGATTTCTGGGACTATTAATTATCCCTTAAAATAGATACAACTTTTTAATATTGTTTAATATATTATGTTTGATATTTAATAAGTTTCCTAGATAAACTAAAATTAAGGCATTAATAAAGAAAAAAAACTAAATGCTATGCATAAACGAATATATCATCCAGATATATCATGATGATTAGATAGAAATAAATATTCATCACACTTACTATATAATGAGATTAGATAAATTAAAACATAGAACCAGATTATATATAACATTAGATAAATTTCAAAATGATGCATAATTATACATTACCAGAAAACAGAGGTCCATTAAATCCGAAGTTTAAAGAAACATACTTAAAATCTAAAGTTTGTTATTTTAAAAGGGAGATATATTCTCCAACCAGGATTCACCCAACTTGCACCAATCGGGATTTGGCACTTTTACCTCAGCCAACCTTTCTTGTGCAAGGATCAGCTCTTCTTCAAGATTTTCTTTCTCTTTAATCCGGCCATAGACCTTCTCCAGTTTGTTAAGTACATAAATGTTCGCTGCAAGCTTTTCAACCAAAACCTCCTCAACATGTTTTGCCTTAACACCTTAATACAACTCCTTGTAAAGACGTAGGAGAGCACAGTAATGTTCTGTGGTTTCCTCTTTGCCTTCGTTGAAACCAATCTGAACAGAAGAGTCAGATTTTTCAATCACTGGATCCTTCATCTTCAATTCTCTATTACTTGCCATGGAGAGTAGATTCTGTATGTTTTAAGATTTTTTTTAATTTCGGTTACAATGAAAAAATGAGATTAACACTAAAATAATTATAAGTAAAAAATCTCATTAAACAATCAAAATGATAAACTAACCTAAGACAATCGTTCAGGATAAAAATAAAAAATAACATATTTATAAACGGATTCTAAAATGTAGATGAATAGCTTAATCAAATATCTTTTGCTACATGTTCAAAGACCAAAAAACTACGGTTAAGAAATAAAATGAACATGAAAAGCAAAGATCTATATGTAACAACAATAATCAGCCAAAATTATATAAAACAAAACTCCATTCACAATAACATCTAAATATAATCGTGATCTAGAACAATTATCAACATGTAAAATTATCTAGGACTATATTCCCCACCTAAACTATTACTATCAACGAATTTAATAGGATAAAGTAGAGAAAATTGTAAAACTTACTAAAAAGTATCTGGAGAGTCGATCTTGGGAGATGTTGGAAGTTATTAGGGTTTTTGAGAAAGTGAGAAGGAGAGTATATATAGGAAAAAAGTTAACGGAAGAGTTTTTAGGGTTATCATTTTTTTGTTGGTAAATGAAACAATATTATTAAAATATGATTTTTCTAAAATTTCATAATTATTGATCAGCAAATGTGAAAAAATTAATATACTTATAATATATGTTATTATAACAAAAAAATTATTTTATATATGTTATAAAGTTGAAAATCAATACTATATAAAGCAATTGACAAATACACACCAAATCATAAAATGTTATTATTGTTTCCTTTTTAGAAAAACAATATTATAACCTTACAATATATCAAAATATCATAAATTAATTTTTATAATGTATTATATTATAATACAGATCATAATTATAAAGATCGATAACCTATATACTATAGATAAGCATAAGACTTAATTTTTATTTCAATCACTTCAGAAGATGGTATTGTCATATCACAAATATAATCATTAGCTTTACATAGAAAACCTAAATAGCATTTTAGATACGATAAGCATAAAAATATTCACCACAAATATATACTCAGGACAGCGATATCCACCACATATATATACAACTATTTTAAAAAATACTTGTTAAATAAATTATGTTCGATATTTAATCAGTTTAATGCTGACGACAAAAACTCTTCAATCAGTTTAATGCTATATTTTCTACGCAACATAATAATTAATAAAACAATTAAATTTTTTATCAAATATACTGATATAATCTCCTTTCAAATGTATATAATTATTTGTAAAAAAAATAAAGATTTTTTCTTGAACAAATTATCTCATTAGTTTTTAAAAAGCCATCAATACCTCATATTTCTTATGGGGCTTGAATTTATGTATGGTTATGAGAGCTTCCTCATGGATAGTTTATATTGAAAGTCAAAATGTACATAAACATGTTAAGGTTAAATAGAATCAAATTTATGAGCTCGAAAATTTCAAAAAAAAAAATTCAGTTGTTGAAGCCCAATCGAAAAAAAATCTAGGCCCAAACGTTATTGTATAACAGTTTTGTGTTTTGACTATTAATTATATACGATAATATGCCTATAAATAGTAAGATTCAAAAGTTAATTGCGTAATAATCTTTTCCTAAAAATACGAAAATGTTTTCAAATACAATAAAAAGAAATAATGTAGCAGTTAAAATACCAAAAAAAAAGAAATCACAAAGTCAGAGATTTGAAATATCTCTTTGAAAAAAACATTTTGTGTTTGCTTCTTAGGTTTTCCATACTCATCAACAATAAGTATCTTCAAACCTTTTTTGGATGTGACCCTGAAGATAGCAACATATAGTTGTCCGTGAGAAAAGGCTGGTCGAGGGAGAAATATTCCAACATGAGAGAGAGATTGGCCCTAATTTTTATTGATCGTTATAGCAACGGCTGCAGATATAGGTAGCTGCCTTCTCCGCATCTTAAATGGTAATTTCTTGTCTGATGAAGTAATGTTTAGTCTAGGTATTATAAAAATGTCCCCGACCTTCATTCCTGAAATAATTCTCGTCTTGACACAGAAATCAGACATATCTATAATTTGCAATGTAGTTCCTTTCATCAATCCTCCAACATGATCAATATTCCTTAGCAACATGACAGGACAACCAATTTTCAACCTAAGATTGTGATTTGGTAAACCTGATGCCTTGATACTGTTAAGAAAATCCGGGGTCAGAGACTGTTCATTAACGGAACACGTTTCAGATGGGCCTACACTGTCAGAGCTTAAATATATTCTCTCCTCACCTGAAATTTATTTAAGTTAGAATTATGTTAGACGCCTTAACAACATATAGAACAAATTATTTGTGACAGAAAAGTACATACCATCTAATTTATCCAACATATGCTGATTTATATTGTTGACATCCTCATTGGTCGGAAAAAGAATAGTCTTCTCTTGAAAAAAATAGGATCTTTCTGCTATTGTAGAGCTTTCACATCTCCGTAAACTTCTCTGCTGATCGATTCAATAGGATCATTTGCATCCATAATCAAAAATTCATCTGAAATGGTGATTAGTGCATCATCATCATTAGCCTTACCAGCTACTTCATCTCCAACATCCAAAATCCACTGCGAAAATGATTCAAGTTCCTTTAACTCTTCAGCATTCATATCAGACGACAACACCCTCATATTTTTTATTAACTCGAGCACTTTGCAATGCTTCCACAGATAGGATGAATTCAGAGAACTCAACACAATTTCAGCCCTTGAGCCACCATTAATAACAGGCAGTACTTGTCTGAAATCACCACCTAATACAACAACTTTCCCGGCAAATGGCTTCTTTTCCTTAGTTCTCATAATATCTGCTAAGCTTCTGTCCAATGACTCAAAACAATGTTTACTCATCATCGGTGCTTCATCCCAAATGATCAGCGAAGATTCTTTAACCAAATTAGCAGCATCACTACCTAATGGCAAATTACATAGAGAATATTCATCCGGATCAATAAGTATTCCGAATCTAGAATGTGCAGTCATTCATCCTTGTAATAGAAGCGATGCAATACCACTTGAGGCAACATTCAACACAATTTTCCCATGGATGTAATAGCTGCAGATAATAATCTCCACAAAAATGTCTTCTCAGTTCCACCAAATCCATAAACAAAGAAAAGACTTCCCTTTTTTTTTTTTCTAAAACTGATTCCATAATTTCCTCGTAAATTTTCCTTTGCTCATTCGTCATCTTTACGATGTCCCTATCATGTTCTGCCCCCAATTTTTCACGGTTGTAGGATAGCTTATCAAGAATCAAAACATTTTGATTCTCAGAAACATCACGGAAGGGCTTTGGTATTTTTTTTCCAATTAGACAGTGAAGTTCCATTGAGTTTCAATATTTTCTCTATCTCCAATAGAGCTCCTTCTTTTAGACATAATCATGTTCAATAGGCCAGGTTAAATATAATTATTTTTAATATATATATATATATATATATATATATATATGTTGACTGTTAAGTTCCTTCAACTCTTCAGCATTCATATCAGACGACAAAAACCTCATAACTTTTGTTAACTTGAGCACTTTGCAATGCTTCCACAGATAGGATGAATTCAGAGAATTTAACACAATTTCAGCCCTTGAGCCACCATTAATAACATGCAGTACTTGTCTGAAATCACCACCTAATACAACATCTTTCCCGGCAAATGGCTTCTTTTCCTTAGTTCTCATAATATATGCTAAGCTTATGTCCAATGACTCAAAACAATGTTTACTCATCATCGGTGCTTCATCCTAAATGATCAGCGAAGATTCTTTAACCAAATTAGTAGAATCACTACCTGGTGGCAAATTACATAGAGAATATTCATCCAGATCAATAGGTATTCCGAATCTAGAATGTGCAGTTATTCCTCCTTGTAATGGAAGCGATGCAATACCACTTGAGGCAACATTCAACACAATTTCCCCATGGATGTAATAGTTGCAGATAATAATCTTCACAAAAATGTCTTCTCAGTTCCACCAAATCCATAAACAAAGAAAATACCTCCTTTTTTCTAAAACTGATTCCATAATTTCCTCGTAAATTTTCCTCTGCTCATTTGTCATCTTTACGATGTTCATATCGTGTTCTTCCCCCAATTTTTCACGTTTGTAGGATAGCTCATCAAGAATCAAAACATTTTGATTCTCAGAAACATCACGGAAGGGCTTTGGTATTTTTTTTTCCAATTTGACAGTGAAGTTCCATTGACTTTCAATATTTTCTCTATCTCCAATAAAGCTCTTTCTCTCAGACATAATCATGTTCAATAGGCCAAGTTAAATACATTTATTTTTAATATATATATGTTGCATGTAATAAATAAATGTAATTTCATGTTTTAAAATGAGATATAGTTTGAAAAAAACTGGTCTATTCAAATGTTTTCTCTGTCTACATTGTATGTCTTCTGAAAGTACCTCCCATGTATTTTCCTAAACCTTCTCTTGCATTGATAAAGTCATGGACATGAGCATTACAACAAAAGCATGTCAGAGAACAAATGCAGTGCTCGTGTAGCTTGACCTGATAATATCATCTATAAACTCTTGATCATCTCCCAGTAGACCACAAGCAAAACAACATTCTTTGTAAGTAGAATATAGCACACATTTTTAGGTCTTTATGTCATCAAAGCAGGAGCATCCACGAAAAATGTTAAGTAAAACACGTAGATAGTATGCTTTCTCAATAGTTTTTGGTGCATAATTAATTCTCCCAATGCTGAAATCTCTTTTTCTTTCTTGCAGTTTTCTCTTTTGTCTGTTCCAGAGAAATTTTGTTGGAGTTTCAGCTAGGGTCAGCTTTCTAGCAACTGAGCTAACCTTGTTCAACTCAAACCAGGCCATCAAATATGTATTCTGAATCATCAGCGACTGGTGACTTCCTCTAATATGTCATCGTCTTTAAAAATAATTATCTGCTTACTTGGTAAATGAAACTGAATTTTCTCAAATGGTACTGATCTGTAATGAATAAGAAACTTGAAAATTCTCCATGCAGCTTCACATGCAGATACGTATCTGAAAAAAAAAATATGGACAAAACTAAATAATAATATTATAAAATAACGGATTAATAATAAATGAATACAAAAACAAATCCAAATAAAATCCAAAATAAGTACCTGCCATCGAAATAATCTTTTATTTCATTTGTCTTCTCTTTGTTTGCTTTCTTGCTAACCTCGCTGCTCTCCATAGATACTCCTTCTTTTGGAGGTTCTAACAGAAATCCGGTCTTGTCCCTTATTGATATACTTGAATAAGTATGTTGGGGTCAAAATCGGTACGACGGAATTAATAGCCAAAACTTTCCGCAAGAATACAAAAAGAACAGTTTTATAAAGCTCGAGAATTGTTTTATAAAACTGGAGAAATCGTTTTATAAAACTCGAGATATCGTTTTATAAAACTCGAGAATCGTTTTATAAAGCTCGAGAATCGTTTTATAAAACTCGAGAAATCGTTTTATAAAGCTCAAGAATCGTTTTATAAAACTCGAGAAATCGTTTTATAAAGCTCGAGAATCGTTTTATAAAACTCGAGAAATCGTTTTATAAAGCTCGAGGATCATTTTATAAAACTCGAGAAACCGTTTTATAAAACTCAAGAATCGTATTATAAAACTCGAGAATCGTTTTATAAAACTCGAGAAATCGCTTTATAAAACTCGAGAAATCGTTTTACAAAACTCGAGAATCGCTTTATAAAACTCGAGAAACCGTTTTATAAAACTCGAGAATCGTTTTATAAAACTCGAGAATCGCTTTATAAAACTCGAGAAATCGTTTTATAAAACTCGAGAAACCGTTTTATAAAACTCGAGAATCGCTTTATAAAACTCGAGAAACCGTTTTATAAAACTCGAGAATCGTTTTATAAAACTCGAGAAACCGTTTTATAAAACTCGAGAATCGTTTTATAGAAC